AATCTCTGCATAAAACACAATGATTTCAATTAGTGTATGTGAACTCTAAACTACAAAGAAAATAAAATTCAAACCAAAATATTACCGTTTCCCATCCACTGGTAACATGTGCACAAATAGTGATCATCATCCAATACACGATGTAGTAACCACACTCATATGACCCACTTTGTCTATTACACTACAATATATCATCATAATTATAAAATGTTAAGTAACATCATTGGAATGGTACACAATGTAACAAAATATGGAGTAAAATACCAAACCTTAAGGGCCAACCATGCAAGCTTTTTAGCTTTAGCTGTTGATCTCCCGGACAACATCATATGTGTTGCAAGGGAACTATTAAAAAAAATTGTTTTATCATACATTTATATAACAAAGAAAGTTCAAACATTGAAGTTCTTACCAATCTACTACTTGTCTAAGAGGGTTGGGAGAAGACTTATGCAATGAACAAAACCATACAACAGTGTTCTCCGGTATGAAGATCACAAGTATTTGTCAACGAAAGTGATTATAAATCACAACCAAATATGCACCCGAAGATCACTACAAAACACAATTGCAAATTTTTATGAAATTTAAGACATGTATATTAAAATTTATATATATTAATAAAATATGAATCTGGAGATTGTAAATAATTTTTGTATTGAATCTCAAACGGGAAACTAAGACTAATTCAGAAAACAATTATATTCAATCAAACAAATAACTACATATGCAACCTACAATATATACAAGCAAACAATATATTCAAGCAAAAAAATAATTATATGTTCATATTAAAAGGAAAATTTTAAGAATAGAAACTTGAGAGTGTGAAAGCCGGTCAAAAACTACAATATCTACACAAAAACAAACAACACATTAATTAGTCTCATGATTCCTAACCTTAAACTTTATTTTATCAACAAATAAACCAATTTAATACAATAACCATTATATAACCATTATATAACCATTATATCAATCTAATCATCAAATAACAATAACCAATATATCAATCTCATAACAATAATTATCAAACACATATCCATCTTAATCATCAAAGAATAATAAAATTTATAATCTTTATCACCAATATATCATCTCACAACAATTATTATCAAACACATATCAATCTAATGACTAAATAAAAATAAAATTGCTAGTATTATGACCAATATATCAATCTCCCACCAATTATTACCAAACACAGCAAAAAACAATGAACCAACCTTGACAGAGGTGCGCAAAAGAAATGGAGGCATCCTCGAGAGCAATACATGAAATAAATGGAGGTGGAGAGTAGTTCATTCGTTCATGCAAGTGACGAACAAGAATGCGCGAGAAAACGAAATGCAGGCAGCGACAACAACGTGGAGTCGTTGGAGGAAGTAGCGGAGGCAGCAGTAGCGCGACACCAATGGCGCGATAGCAAGGGCGGTGACAGCAATGAATGACGGTGACAACAATGAACGGTGGTGGCAACGACACGTGGCGACAACACGATGGAAGTACGAGTTGAGAATAATCGCGAGGAAGGAGCGAAGGAGGTGGTTCGAGCGCGACCATGGAGGCGGGGCAAGCACAGCGACGCAGGGATTTTGCAGGGATGGCACAGATATATGCCTCCGTTCCCCAAGCAATCGAGTCAATAGTTCCTTCACCAAAAAGGTGTCAGACGTTACTGACTTAATTTCTTTTTGTAAGGTTATATTCGTCAGTTTACCCTGCCAACCGAGGCAGTATCTCTGTTACCAAAAAGGTGTCAGGTGAAAGGTCTGAGTTAGGTATTATCTACAGGGTTATATGCCTCGGTGTACCCTACCAACCGCGGCAGAATGCTCTTTAGGGATCAGTTCTAGTTGAACTGAGACATATAGTATAGTTAAAATTACGAAATTGTCACTGCGTTTTGATACGCTTCAGTTTTTTTGAAACCGAAGCGTAATGTGCGAGTTAAAAACCCTCTTTTTACTAGTGAGTATTTTTAAATCACAATTTAATCTACCTCTATGATACTTTGCAATAGCACAAAACAAACTTAATTATAAAAGTGTTTTATTCATTTCAACAAAATATAATATATCGTTGCTATAATGATAGGGCAAACACATAATCATACAATAACTTCTGCTAAGATGAATAAATGACTTGAGTTAAGATGAATAAATGAATTTTGGTAAGATGAATAAATAACTTGGTTTACATACATGAATGAAAATGAAGATATATGTAAAGTGTTTCGGGTGTGGGGTCGAGAATCATAATCAAGACACTCTTTCACACTTTTCTTCCAATCTTCTAACATCGTCTAAGGTCTCTGTTACAAAATTATCCTCAATTCTTCATCTCCAAACTTCCAAGCTGAGCTGGTGGGTACCTGTCAAAAGTACTCTGATGCTAAGTTAGTTATATGTGTCCAATCGGTTATCATAACAAAGTCTTAAATTCACAATAAATGCAATTATTTACCTCCTTACTTTACCTCTATATTTATAGGTTTCAAAATGAGTTTGTAATTAGAGATGGCCTAGTCTAATCACGGCCCAAAAAGGCCCAAAAGTCGATAAATGTGTTTTAGCTATAAATATGTTCGATTTGCGATGTTGGTGCCTAATGGAGACATGATCGATCGACTTACTGAGAAACCGTCCGATTTACAGTAACTTGGGATTGGAAACGATCTTCCAATGTTCTTCTGAAAACGTTGATCGTCTGGTCAATGATAGACCAGTCAGTCATAATTATAATATGTCATTGCTATAATTATAGAACAAATAGATAATCATACAATAATTTCAGTTAAGATGAATAAATGACTCAAGTTAAGATGAATAAATGACTTGGCTTATATACATAAATGATAATCAAGATATTGGCTTACATGAATGACAATTAAGATATATATAAAGCATAATATACCACACCTTAAGAAAACTTAAATAAACTTAAATATTTATGTATTTTAAAATCTTATATTGTGTTTGAATGAAAATTTTGTAGAAAATAATTATTTTAATAATTTTTTTTATAATAAAATATTTTATTTAATATTTTTTAAATAGTTAAAATTTTAAAAATTTGTAAGTATAATTTAATTATTTGAATAATAAAATTTCAAATTTCACAAGAAAAAAAGTTTTTTTTTTCATTCACATCTTTATAAAATTTTTTGTTAATACTTTCTCTTTAGTTTAACAAAAGATAAGATATCATCAAATTAATTTAATTTCAGTATTGTTGGTTCGAACGAGATTAGATTATCAATCACTTTATAACTAAAAATATAGATTAAATATGTTTTTACTCTTTAAATTTTAATAAAAAGTTTATAATTTATTTTTATTTAAAATTTTGATACAATTTAGTACTCAACTTTAAAAATGAATAGATATAATCTTTCTAATCCAATAGTATTAAATATTTTTTACATGTCAAAATGAGTATTTATACTCTTTTTTAGACATTTTAACTCAAATATTAATAGGTTGTTTAAAATCATGTTTAACCCAAAATTTATCATAGTTACTTTCTTTTACTAATATTAAATTACTTTTTCTAAAAAAGTTTTGATGCATAATATCGTTTAAATTTACAATAATACAGATTTGTGTAATTTTTTTATTTTGTGAAATTTTAGTTCTAATTGGTTAGATTGTTATGAGATAAAAAAAAATTATTGTATATTTATTGAGTACACAATTATAATATTAGTGTTTTAACAAAGCCATGAATTTTCATGTCTCTAATAATTTCACAGTTAAACAGGACACTAATCCAAGAATGTAGAATATTTTGACATTCTCAATATGTAACTAATTTCATTTAATGGAGTAAAAAATCTTAAGCACTCAGATTTTTTTTAATATACATGATTCTAATAAATATTTTATTTAGGGAAAATCAATATCTTTATCAGTTGAGCTAGTAAGCATTAAATAATTAGTAAGCATTTAATTAATGAAACGATCAGTAATTAATTTTGTTTGTATTTGTAATTAAAAATATTAATCTTTTATTAAATTGATATACGGACGCAAATTAAGATTTGTATATCAATTTACACATGAGAAAGATACAGCTTTGCTATCAATTGCATTTTTTTAATATAATTACACAATCTAATTCTTAACTAATATTATTGTTATCGTTACCAAATAAAATGTGCTAAGCCCAGTCATCAGATTTTTTTCTTCTTTCTAAAATACGGAAAATAAAAGAAAAAATTATTGGAAGGAAAAACAAAAATAAAAAAGCACGTTGGGTACCAAAAATACATTAACGTTATTTTCATTTAAAAGAGATAAATACGCATTAGTCTTTAAAGTTTAACGTGAAATTAAAATTTATATATTTTAAAAAAAAATTATATATTTTGATTTTTTAAATTTAAAAATAAATAAGTATAATTTTTTAATTTAATTTTTTTAACGTGTAAAATATATTTAACATTGAAATGAGAACATATTAAAAAAAATATAAATATAATATGAAAGATTAATATATTAAAAAAATTTAACATAAGTATTAAAAAAATTATATCTATTTATTTTTAAATTTAATAATAAAAATGTATTAAAGTTTTGAAAAAAACGAATTCTATTTATTCTCCAAAATCAAGATATAAAAAGATATTTTACCTTAATTAAATTGACTTAACAATGAAAAAAAAAGTCCTCATAAAAGGAAAGCCACATTTGACCAGAGTTAACAAATTAGTCATATTCATGAATGAATTGAAAAGAAGGAACCTTGATTTGTTTTAGCAATTAAAAAATGTAGAGAAATTAAATATTTGTAGACCAAGTGTTCCATTAAAGCAATTAATAAAAAAGAGAAGCAAAAACGGTAAGTATAATTAGAATTGTGGTAAAAAAATGCTTAATTAAATAATATTGCAGGAAAATTAATTGGGGAGTTGACCAGTCAATATTAAAATTAAATAGAAGAAAAAAAGAATTAATATATATAAGGAATGTTTGAAAGAAATGTGCATAGTGGTGTTGAAGAGAGTGGTTAAATAGCGCGTGGGAAGGGAAAAGGGCCCTACGAATACATTTCTCACCAAACCAAACAAAACTTGCATTACATTACATTACATTACGCACCACACTTCTCTCTCTTTCCTTTCTCTTTCGTGTGTTTTGCTTGAAGCAGTCAACGATGGAGTCCAAATCCCCTCGAAGGTACCAAGAGCACCGTGGCGGCGTCAACCTCCTCCCTTCGCCGCGACACAGCCACAGCTCCAACAGCAGCACAAGCAGCAGCAGCAGCAATGGCCTCCACCACACGCAATTCACGCCTCTCACGCCAAGCGCGCCCTCCCCCACCTCCTACCCGCCCAAGCCCCTCACCAGATCCGAATCCGCCAATCCGTACCCGACAACGTTCGTCCAGGCCGACAGCTCCTCCTTCAAGCAGGTGGTCCAAATGCTGACAGGATCCTCGGAAACCGCGAAACAAGCCTCCTCCTCCTCCGCCACCAAAGCAAACTCCGAAGCAGCGAGGCCCCACTCCCACATCCCCCCAATGAAGAAGCAATCCGGGTTCAAACTGTACGAGCGCAGGAACACGCTGAAGAACCTCAACATCAACCCTCTCCTACCTGTCTTCTCCAACACCGTCTCAGGATTCTCTCCTCGCAACACCGAAGTCCTCTCACCCAGCATCCTCGACTTCCCCGCACTCGTTCTCAGCCCCGTCACGCCTCTCATACCCGACCCATTTCACCGATCCCGCTCCATCGACACCCAGGCCGAAGACAAGGCCATCCAAGAGAAAGGCTTCTTCTTGCATCCCTCCCCTGCTTCCACCCCAAGAGACGCTGACCCTCCTCGCCTTCTGCCTCTCTTCCCCACCGCCTCCCCAGGTTCTTCTTCCTCTTAAATTTTCATCATCATTTATTAGTACTATTACTATTACTATTACTATTTACTATTCCCTTCCCTTTCCCTTGTCCTTTACATTTTCTGTAAGATTCTTATATATATTTTTGTGGCATTCATGAGGACCAAAGAGAGACAAAAAAAAAAGAAGATAAACTTGTAATGGCTTATGCAGAGAATGGAACCAGAATCTTGCTTCAATTGTATCTAAACTTTTCTTCTTCTTTTGTTTATTTATTTTGTTTGTTAGTTACTTTCGCTTTTTATCCTTTCTTCAATGTTGATTACGAGGGGAGCGCAACTGCGGGAGAGGCGAAATTTAATTTCACCCCTTTTTTTGTGGGTTGCTCTAAATGCTAATTATGAGCTCGTGGAGAGAAAAGCGAGTTTGATTCGAAAATGCGAAGCTTAATTATCAATAAATTGGTCAATTATTAGGAGCCATGCCGATCGGGGTATTGGGAGGTATGGCAATTTAATGAGAGAAAAGGTTCACTACTCGTACTAGTAGTAGCACACTATCTAACCATAAATTTGGCTTTGCCTCGGTCTTTTTCTTCAAAAAAAGAAATGTAATTTTTAATGTGGTTCCTGCAAGGTCGCTGCGTATATCAGAGGATTTAATTTACTTGGTTTCCCTCACTGTCAAATCCTTCAATTAATGCCGAATTTAAATTATGTGATCCAATTGAATTGCTTCCGTTCGAGGGCAATACTAATAATGATGATTTCAAGGAACGTTATACCTAAGTGCAGTCGTTGCAGAGCGGTGGTGGGGATAAGAATTATGAAACTGCTGTGTGTGTGTGTGTGTGTGTGAGAGAGAGAGAGAGAGAGAGAGAGAGAGAGATTTACATGGATGGGAAGCAAAGGCAGTGTTGGGCTAGCTGTCAAAGAAAGAGTAGAAGAAGGGGTAAGGAATCTTGACCCTTTTTGTTGTCTTTCCGAGTGAGGGGAAGGTGCCAAGAAAAGATGCAGGCATTGTATGTGTTTTTCTTACGTAGAATAGAACGCATCCACCGGTTTTATTATGTTATGTATGTATGTATGTACTTGATGCCTCTCTTCCCAAAGCACCGCAGCCTAACACCAGGAAGGACAAGGTAGATAGATAGATAGATCCATTCACATGTGTTTCTTTCCCAAACTCTAAACTCGTCCAGGTGGTGTTTCTCTTAGGACAGGACAACATTTGACAGAATATTTGGTGTTGTTGTTTAATGAAATTATAAAAGGGTTAGTGTTTGTTTTTACTGTGATGAGAAAAAGTAGAATGAGTGAGTTTTGAACGTAGTAAGGTGGTGTTGAATGAAAGGTTTGAAGAGGAGGAGGCGTAAAAAGCAATGATGGAAATTGATGAAAAGAGTGGGGAAAAGGAAAAGGAAAAGGAAGTGGGAGTTGTGATGATGAAAGGGAAGAAAAGAAGTGTTGGTTTGTTTGAATGATTTTTTAGGACTTAGGAAGTGTTGGTTGGTGGTGCATTTATTGAGAATTTGAAACTCAACATGTGCACTGCTCTGAAACACTAGTCCCAGTCCCATTATCAACGCCATCATCTTCTACTACTCCTCTTTGCCTTTCGCTATCATTCAAACAAACATCTAACACAACATGCCTCATGTCCCATCTTTTCATTTCCACCATTTTTTTTTATTATTCTTATTATATAATAACAACATCTTTTATCAACCATCCCACCAATACCTTTACGCTCTATGTCTCTCTACAACAATTTCATAATCTGCACACAATAATAAAAAATTATAATACAGACACATTTATATTTTTTTTTGTTTAAAACTACCACTTGTTGACATAAAGAAGACCCTATTTAATACTTGTAAAAAAAAAGAACTAATTTATTTATATGGCATCATCCATAATGGTTGACAAACAATTTTGACTCCTTATTCAACTGTGGAGAGAAGTAGGTGAGAAGGAAATAAAAATAATAACAAAACTCACTTTTTTTTTTCTGTTTCGTGCCAAAGAGAAAAAGAGAAAGATAAAAAAAAAATTGTTTTTCCAAAATTTTCTGATATATATTTAAAGTTTTGAATAGACAAAATTGTCTGTTTAATAAAAAAATATTTCTCTATGATTTCAAGCAGATTTACGTGCTATCAGCAATCATTATAAGTTTAAATGTAATTAATCGTTTCAAACAGGAAAGAAAAGTGTAGAACTCAAATATGAATTAAGAAAAACGTACTAATGTGAAAAACAGGGCAATTTTAGCAGTTTGGGCGTTTGTAAATCAAACGTTGACTTAATTCATCGGAGAAATTGCATATTTTCTTAACAAATTCCTGGAAAAGCAAAGCATACTTAATAGAAACCTAAACTGTTTAATATATGAAAAAGTAAAAAGTGTAACTAGTATAATTATAAATAATCAAGTAATAACATACTTTCACTCATTGACCATCAAAAAAAATGTTCATCACTCTATTTAATTATTTATATAACTTACTACAATGATTTTGAAATAAGCACGTTTTAGTAAAAAAGAATATTAGTCATCTTAGAGAACACATAAATATTGATAAATAAACTTTTATCATTTATAATGATCATATCAGTTCTATTACTCTTATCCCTAGTGTGGAGTTTAATAAGAAATAAAACTTCATATTTCTTCTTACATGATCTTATAAGAAATACGATCATTATAAAATATCATAATGGTATTTTTTTTTAAAGAGTAAATAATTGGTTAAATAAGTATTGATGTATTTTATTTTCTTTTAAAAAGAAAAAGAATGACACTCGATAACAATAATTTTAATTTTGTTTAGGGTTTAGTAGTACTTGAAATGATTAAACATGTGTCTAGTCATTTATAATAGTTGTCATTGTTTATTAAAGAAGAAAATATTAACGTTAATATCCAATTAATCTTAAGAAATATTAAGGACTTTAAGGTTAATGATAATATCCATTTAATTTTAAAGAAACATTAAGGATTTTAAATTTATACAACCAGACATTAAAGGATAGAAGACTTCTTGCACATTATGTTAATTTTCTCTTTTAATAAATATAAAATATGTTGATACTTTTAATAAAGACTAATTGTTGTACTATGAGTGCAATTATTTTCTATTGAAGTAAAAAAAATGTCAATATTGATTATACCAAATTAGTTATTTATACTTTTCAAAATATGTTCAATACTTTTAATATTATTAACTACACTTTTTTTCAACATTACAATATAATTTCTTCAGACACTAAAAAATTACTAAAAATGATGTTTTATATATTATTGGTTTGAAACAATATTAAAATCGATGTGAAATAGTGAGACAATAAAAATTCTAAAAAAGATTATTAACTCTATATTCTTTTCTTTTAAAAAATGAAGTATTAAAAATATTTTATATAGAAAATAATAATTTAGGTTCGTATCGTTTAAATATCTTTTATTAGAATTTATCAGTTTGCTTGTGTTCATGTAATACACTAAAACATAATTTATTTTAAAAAAAAAGTTTTTTTTTTCATTCTTTTGGTTTTGGGATTTAAAATGTGACGAATTTATATGACAAGAACAAGAGAAATGACGGGATTTAAATCACCAATACTGATATGTTATGATAGCTTTAGAGCAATAGGGATAAATAAATAAAAGGAACATAGTATCTTTAACTACTGCTTTTTCAAAACTGTTTGTCTATTTCAAAAGATAATACACATGTTAAAAAATATAATTATCTTTTATATTTACACAGACAGATAAATATAAAATAAACTATTCTTCAAAGAATGAACACAAAGCAAAACGAAAGCTTTTATAATGAATGCTAATGTGTATATGATAGAAAAATATTAAATATTTTTAATTATTCGAAAAAAGTAGATATCAAATCATGCTTATGTTACAATATATAATTAAACTTTTCTACTTTTACATCTTATTATTATCAACTAATAAACTCATAATACAAGAATATCATAAACTAAGGATAAAATTTATGAAAAATTTTCTAAAATATTTATGGTATTATTTTTTATAAAATTAAAGTTGTATCTCGATAACTCGTTTAATAAAAAGTGATATTAAAGTAAGAGTCTAATAATCTAGTTGATATCTAATTTTTATCGAAGAATCTGAGAAGCACTTAATTAAGAAAGTACATTTAAGTTTCTCACATAAATGATTTTGTTGTTTGAAGATGTGTTAAAGCTACACATACAGATCAAATTTAATTACTTGAAAAAAGTTAGTCTGAGGGAAAAAAATATAAGTCTAATTTCACAGAAATTATCCCGACTTACTTATACATCCGTTGTACGGAACTACGATGTCGTATTACGAGTAGGATTGAATCAAATGAATAAATTGAATTGAATATTATTCGAATTAGATTTTAAAATGTAATAAAATTAAACTGAACTTTATAATAATTTAAATAAGCCAAAAACGGAAGTGTCGCAAACTTTGTCATTTTGTCCTTGCGAACTATACTAGTTGTCATGAAGTTTTCAATAAGGTGAGATTTTATTTGAGCGAGATTTTTCATGAAAAAAAAGAAATTAAAATAATTAACTTATGGATTAATCATTTTATAAATACTTTTGCATATAATTATTCTAGATTTTTATTTTTAACTTATAAAAAAATAATTCCGCTGGCTTTTTTTTACAGAAAATTTATCTAAATATATTTTTAATAAAATTGATTAATATATTTGAAGTTAATTTGGGTTTGGACGTCGACAAAAAAATATATATGTAATTAATAATAGAGGTACTTGAAGAACAGATGAAGACAAGAAGAAGATGAGCACAAGTTGGGAGCCATATATAGTTTGAGGTACATTGAAATTAAGATTGGATTGATGCTGACCATTACTTCAATAACCAGCAGCCACCATGTCCACTTGGCAACTCTTTATCTGCCGCCAAAGCAGAAGTTTTTTCCACTTTTCACATGCACACACAATTGACCAACAACATGAAAGGGACTATTAAACTATTTACTTTTCTCTTAATATGCTTAATGTTTTCAGAACCAAATCACAAACAAATTACGTTGGATTCAACATGGTGCAGAGAGAAAACAACACGGGTTTCACTTCCTACTTGTTCCACTTGCACTGTTTTATGTCTGAGTTGTCATGTAAATTTTTCAGAAATCATGCATGTCACTGTAGCTCTTCTTGAAACCTAGATTAGATTCAGAGAACGAGCCTTTTGCTGCAATCATTTTGAATGAAGATGATGACCTCCTGCTTCCATCATTCTTTGACTATAAACAAGTTTCTTGAAACTACCAACCTGATGCATAGGGTTTGTATGAATGATGCATGAATAAACATTGATAAAGAAAGAAATTCTTTTAAAATGGTTTTACTTAACATTGTTTGTAGGACTCCGCAAGATCTTGAGTGGAGTTCTGTCTTTTGGTTCTCGGAAAAGGTTTGTTCTATACTTTTATTTAATCACAATGTTGCAGTTATTATACCTTTTTATAATAATAAAGAAAGAGCTAGAAAAATAATTAAATCTATTGAAAACAAGTAAAGGTATATTGCATTATATTAAATCTCGATTTATATTTATACATATGTTAGATAAATTTTCAAATATTGATTTAAGTAATTTCTATGAATTAAAATTCCATTGAAGTCAAAGTATTTTTTATTAGGAAAAGATATAATTATATAAACTTAAACGTATAAATATTATATATATATATATATATATATATATATATATAAAATTAAAGTGAAGATGAGAAAAATACTCACAATGACAAAAATAAAAATTTATGCTAATAAAAAAAGTTACATACTTTTGTTTTCGTGAAATTTTTTTCCAAATATAATATAAGAGAAAAGAAGAGAATGTGATCCTTAAGGAAGCATAGTCTTCTTATATAAGAACCAACCATGACTACCATATAAGTTCCACCAATGTGGGACTTCTTTCCTTTCCAATCTCTCACTTAAAGATTTTGATTAAACTAATCAAATTTTCATATTATATTTTATTATTTATGTTGTTTATTTTTCAAATGTTCTCCACCCTAATTTGTCATGAACTTATTAATCTCTCTTACTACTCAATGTCTGATCTTGTATACATCATAATATTCATAAGACTACCCATCGATGCACACGATACTCGAGACATGTTCATCCTCTTCGCTTCACTGCTAGGACTCACACTTGAAGATAACATACCATTGATAGGAAATGGGATAAACATTGGCTTATAATCTTACATGTTAAAGTGTACAAGTTCTTTAGTAAGTACTTCT